AACAACTTGTCATTGCACTTGGACAATTATCTTGACATTGATTTATGGTATTGATCTGTCTTCGGTTTTCGGTACTGATTTATTTTCTCATTTTTTTATAAGACAAAAAAAATTGATACGGATCGTTCGTTTATCCGAGTTAATTTGTTGAATAAGATTAGAGGGGTAAGTACCTGAAAAGTGAGAACAAATTGTCATTGCACTTGGACAATTTTTTGACACTGATTTATGGTATTGATCGATATTCGATTTTAGGTACTGATTTACTCTTTCATTTTTCTACAAGAAAAAAATTTGATACGACTCGTTCATTTATCCGCGTTAATTTGATGAATAAATTAAATATTGATCGGTCTTCAATTTTCGGTACTGATTTATTCTCTCATTTCTTTATGAGACAAGGAAAATTGATACGAATCATTCGTTTATTCGAGGTAATTTGTTGAGTGAAATAGAGGGATAAATACCTGAAAAATGAGAACAAATTGTCATTGCACTTGGACAATTTTCTAACACTGATTTACGCTATTGATCGATATTCGATTTTCGGTACTGATTTACTCTTTCATTTCTCTATAAGAAAAAAAAAATTCATACGAATCGTTCACTTATCCGCGTTAATTTGATGAATGAATTAAATATTGATCGATCTTCAGTTTTCGGTACTGACTTATTCTCTAATTTCTTTATAAGAGAATAAAAATTGATACGAATCGTTCTTTTATCCGACTTAATTTGTTGAGTAAATTAGTGGGGTAAGTACCTGCAAGATGAAAACAACTTGTCATTGCACTTGGACAATTTTCTTGACATTGATTTATGGTATTGATCTGTCTTCGGTTTTCGGTATTGATTTATTTTCTCATTATTTTATAAGACAAAAAAAATTGATACGGATCGTTCGTTTATCCGAGTTAATTTGTTGAGTAAAATAGAGGGGTAAATACCTGAAAAATGAGAACAAATTGTCATTGCACTTGGACGATTTTCTAACACTGATTTACGCTATTGATCGATATTCGATTTTCGGTACTGATTTACTCTTTCATTTCTCTATAAGAAAAAAAAAATTCATACGAATCGTTCACTTATCCGCGTTAATTTGATGAATGAATTAAATATTGATCGATCTTCAGTTTTCGGTACTGACTTATTCTCTAATTTCTTTATAAGAGAATAAAAATTGATACGAATCGTTCTTTTATCCGACTTAATTTGTTGAGTAAATTAGTGGGGTAAGTACCTGCAAGATGAAAACAACTTGTCATTGCACTTGGACAATTTTCTTGACATTGATTTATGATATTGATCAGTCTTCGGTTTTCGGCACTGATTTATTTTCTCATTTTTTTATAAGACAAAAAAAATTGATACGGATCGTTCGTTTATCCGAGTTAATTTGTTGAGTAAAATAGAGGGGTAAATACCTGAAAAATGAGAACAAATTGTCATTGCACTTGGACGATTTTCTAACACTGATTTACGCTATTGATCGATATTCGATTTTCGGTACTGATTTACTCTTTCATTTCTCTATAAGAAAAAAAAAATTCATACGAATCGTTCACTTATCCGCGTTAATTTGATGAATGAATTAAATATTGATCGATCTTCAGTTTTCGGTACTGACTTATTCTCTAATTTCTTTATAAGAGAATAAAAATTGATACGAATCGTTCTTTTATCCGACTTAATTTGTTGAGTAAATTAGTGGGGTAAGTACCTGCAAGATGAAAACAACTTGTCATTGCACTTGGACAATTTTCTTGACATTGATTTATGATATTGATCAGTCTTCGGTTTTCGGCACTGATTTATTTTCTCATTTTTTTATAAGACAAAAAAAATTGATACGGATCGTTCGTTTATTCGAGTTAATTTGTTGAATAAGATTAGAGGCGTAAGTACCTGAAAAATGAGAACAAATTGTCATTGCACTTGGACAATTTTCTAACACTGATTTACGCTATTGATCGATATTCGATTTTCGGTACTGATTTACTCTTTCATTTCTCTATAAGAAAAAAAAAATTCATACGAATCGTTCATTCATCCGTGTTAATTTGATGAATAAATTAAATGTTGATCGATCTTCAATTCTCGGTACTGACTGATTCTCTAATTTCTTTATAACAGAACAAAAATTGATACGATCCGTTCTTTTATCCGACTTAATTTGTTGAGTAAATTAGTGGGGTAAGTACCTGCAAGATGAAAACAACTTGTCATTGCACTTGGACAATTTTCTGACACTGATTTACGCTATTGATCGATATTCGATTTTCGATACTGATTTACTCTTTCATTTCTCTATAAGAATACAGAAAATTAATACGAATCGTCCATTAATCCGCGTTAATTTGATGAATAAATTAAGTATTGATCGGCCTTCGATTTTCGGTACTGATTGATTCTCTCATTTCTTTATAAGGGAAGAAAAATTGGTACGAATCGTATGTTTAACCGAGTTAATTTGTTGGGTAAATTACAGCGATAACTACCTGAAAAATGAGAACATATTGTCATTGGACATATTGTCATTTTCTGACACTGATTTATGGTATTAATCGGTATTCGATTTTCGATACTGATTTACTCTTTCATTGCTCTATAAGAAAAGGAAAAATTGATACGAATCGTTCATTTGTCCGCGTTAATTTTTTTTTTATTATATATAAGTGGTCCATGGGACGATTAAATATTCGAATACATGTTGCCGTATCAAAGTCTCCTCTATAATAAACGATTTGACACGTCTGGAGACGCATGATGTATCGTTGCCCGCATCCCATTCCCTTCGTCCTGCTTCCCTGTATAAAATGTCGAATTGAAACGTATTAAAAAGTATTGACATTTTGAATATGTCTGAATTCTGAATCTTTTTGGTCCGAAGAAAAGGATTGAAAAGTATTAGTTCCCATTAAATTTTACTGCGCTAAATGCGAGACGGTCTCTTTCGTCCGGGTGCCTCACCAGAGAAATTTCTCTGGTACGCTAAATCCTGTAAGGCCATCAGTCTTTGTAGTATATCTCGTCGGTGCATAAGGTTTATATTACCTGTACATACATATTTTGAAACATTTTCTTTGGATATTATATCAAACGGATTTTGCGTGTCACGTAATATCCTTCGGACTACACGGACATTATTATTTTGATCATTTTGATTTCTTTGGTATTCATTGAATTATCCAGAACGCGCAACTGCCATGTTGAACGACTCAATTGTCGTGTGAAATGTTTCGATTTTCACAAATTCATATAAAATTTTTCATTTTTCACTGATTCACAGAAGTCTTTCACTTTTTATTAGTTCACGCTAGGGAAAGGATTCATGATCGCTGCCCCGAGCAGTTGCAACGCTTTTCGAATCATCTATATCGGCGCGCTTTTACTCCTCAGGGTACCTATTATGGAACTCGTCGAAATTGATTCCGATCGAATTTATTCCGTTATTTCCTAGATTTCTATTGTCTTTTCTAGGGGAAACGGAATTATTCCGATTGGAATCAATTCTGACGAGTTCCATAATAGATACCCAGATCTCTGTCATTGGCTGCGTTCAGAAAACACAACGGTTACACAACGTTTGAGTAATTTGTCAACGTTATTGGTCTGAATGTAAGGATTTAACAGTAAGGACCAATAGTTACTAAGCGCTCAATGAGCGCTTTGTTTTCTGAACGCAACCATTAATAACTCGATAATTATTGCGAATCTCGCAAAATGGTATGGGACTTTTATGTTTGTCTCAACCCAATCTACCTTCACACTTCGGGTTGGCAGCTAATTACTTCGTATGATCTTCATGATATTAATCATACACAATGTCAATTCTTTTGTTTTTGCACATGTTAACATGTTTATTCATGTTATAAACGCGTAACAATGTGCGAGACCGCGCTTGTCAAGTACGCTATTATGGTTGTAGCACGGACATAAACCGCTTAAAAATAGATGTAGCACAGACTGTCACCACATACAGGTTTTACCGCCGAAATCTGAAAGTGAAGCTAAGACTCCATGCATGCGGTGAGCAACGGCTGCGGTGACCAATCAGGAGACAGACGCATGCCGGAGCTTGCCGCAACCAGACTTGCGCCTCCCTCCTGATTGGTCATCGCAGCATTTGCCGCTGCTCACCGCATGCATGGAGTCTTAGCTTGATGTAGCATCGTAATTCCCCTCTCAAAATGGATGCAGATCGCCATCTGCATCCATTTTGATGCGCCCTTTCCCCGTGCGGAATGTCGGTGTCGTCGAAAACACCGTGTTGGCCGCTCACACGTTCCTCTCTGGTAAAGCCAGCGGCATACGGTGCTTGATTGCTTGCTGGATGAAAATATTGCATTCTGATTGGTGCATTTCCATCTATCTTCGGAAATATACCAATCAGAACACAATATTTTCATCCAGCAAGCAATCCAGCACGAAAACAAGCACCGTATGCCGCTGGCTCAAGAGATAAATGCGCGCATATGCGTGAATCGGAACGCACCCTAAGGCTATAAGGTTGCAAGATACGAAATGAAATATTTTCATTCGCTGACAGCTTACGTTACAGCCTTACAGCCTTAAAGCGGCACACGGTGCTTGTTTTCGTGCTGGATTGCTTGCTAGATGAAAATACTACGTTTTGATTGATGCATTTTCATCCATCTTCGGAAATGTACCAATCAGAATGCAGTATTTTCTTCCAGCAAGCAATCCAGTATGAAAACAAGCACTGTGTGCCGCTGGCTTTAAACTAAGACTCCATGCATGCGGTGAGCTGCGGCAAATGCTGCGATGACCAATCAGGAGGGAAGCGCAAGTCCGGTTGCGGCAAGCTCCGGCATGCGTCTGTCTCCTGATTGGTCACCGCAGCCGTTTGCCGGAGCTCACCGCATGCATGGAGTCTTAGCTTTACTCTTACAGCTATTGTAGACGAGCCTTTACACTTTAATAGCTACGATCACAGCGCCTCTAGGATTGAGAAAGAGAGAGAGAATGAGAGAGAGGGGTAGTGAGAGATTGAGGGAAGAAAAAGAGAGAGGGGAAGATCAAAGCGCCTCGTAAATGCTGTAGAAATTCTAATCATAGTATGTCATTGATGTTGTGACGTGTTATATTTTTTTAACAAAGTACTGGGTGAGGCGTGTGGTGCGAAGAGAGGAAAAGACGGCGAATAAAACAGGTAAATAGTTTTATGTTTTTATCTAAGCGAATTATTCTATTTATCCTCACTAATATAAGTCGGGAGGTTAGGTTGTGATTACAGTACAGCTGAGCGTGCTGTGTTGGTTAAAGTAGTCGATGATAACGTTGCTTTTTTTTGAGACACATCACGAATAACGTGTTAGACTTTTAATGAACTGATTAAGTACCTTTCTCTCTATTTTCTATCGTGGCTCCACTTGCATATATCTTTTTTATGGTTAAATTTGTTACTAGATTCTTTTAACCGTAACCTTGAATTCGCAAGGGATGTGATTGTAATAATTGACTACGAGATACAGCTTAATTTTTTAACCCGAAAAACAAACTAGAAATAGATGTCTTTTAATAAATTTTTTAACATTTATTTATGTAAGTTTTGTATATATATAAAATATGTTTTAATATTATATTGACAGGGTATTATGTTGAAAGGGTATTTTTTTTCATTTTATTTTTCTCATCATCCTTAAGGAAATCATTCTTATAAAGATATTTTACACAGATACTCAGGTATTATCTGAGTATTTGATTATTTTAAGCAGTATCAAAAAATGTAGATGTAAAAATTACCTGACTGATATCGACAGCAAAAGTATCTTCTGGTTACAGTAAAAGAAAATGATGCAAGATGAAGATTTGAGTGGTCCATCCAGACGGAATGTTTTTAGTCAAGGGATAACAAGAGTATCACAGGTTAATAAATCATCTATTTAATATTTCATATTCTATATATTATACATGATTTTTTTACTTTACTTAAAATATATTATTAAAAATTATCAAAATATAATTGCAATTTAAAATTATATTCTGACAAAGAACTTATGGTATATATATAAATTATATCTCATGATCTATTATTTTATGCAATTAATTAATACATTATATTTCTAATTTTAAATTTCCAAATTCTAGGTAAATATGAATGTTACATTTATCTGATAAATAAATATATATAAATAATAAATAAATCATGAAATATTTTTATATTACAGATATATCAAAGATACTTGGATCTATGGACACCTCATATAATGTCAAGATGGATATTTGCTATATTTCTATTAGCCCTTTTTTTTCTACGTATATTTATCTCACAAGTATGATATCTTCCTGATAAGAAGTTTAAAACTTTATTCTTTATAACTATTTTTTGATGCTACAGAAACATTTTTACATTTTCAGGGATGGTATGTCGTGACATATGCATTAGGAATTTATCACCTCAATTTATTCATAGCATTCCTCACACCAAAAATTGATCCTGCCATGGATTTTGATGGTATTTTATTAGATTTCTATATAATTATCAAACTATGTAAAAAAAAGTTGATTTATAAAGTTAAATTGATTAAATTAATAAATTAGAAATTATAAAATTGAATTATAAATTGAAAATTATCCATTTATGGAAAAAGTTTATATATATATATATATATATATATATATATATACATATAAATGTCTTAATTAAAAAATTTAATGTTATGTACTTCCAATGATCAATAATTATAGATGGAGAAGGTCCCGAATTACCTACAAGATCTAACGAGGAGTTTAGACCATTCATCAGAAGATTACCTGAATTCAAATTTTGGTACTCAATGATGAAATCTACAGTTGTTGCTATGATATGCACGTTATTTGACTGTTTTAACGTACCAGTATTCTGGCCGATACTCGTGCTGTATTTCATAATGCTATTCATCATTACAATGAAACGACAGATAGTGGTAAGATATTTTTACTTATTTTTGTTATATCATAAAATACAGTAATTTTATTAAAGAACTACATATAAAGACTTTGACATTGTGTTGAAGATACAAAAACAAATAGACGAAAGATATTAAATAATATATACTATGACTTAAATTTCATTAACTGCTATAATAATATTATTAAAACTAATTTTTAATTTATCTTTAGTGTGAATCAAATAATTTTAATGAATTTGACTTTTATTTGCAGCATATGGTTAAGTACAAATATCTGCCTTTTACTCATGGCAAACCAAAATATCAAAACCATGAGGATACTTCACGGTTGGTACCATCGAAATGAATAGAAATAAAAAATACATTTGCCAGTGGAGACACGTATACGTGTAAATTTAAATTTCTCTCAATAAAGAACGTAAGAAGACAAAATAAAACCTGAAGAAATTCTTAACGTTATAAAAGAAGGAAGACATTGCCTTGTACAAGAAAAATTGAGGCGTATAATAACTCTAAATTATGTAACACACAATACATGAACCGAATAATCTTAATATATTTGTATCATAAAACTTGTACAAAGTATTGTTAGTTCTTATATTAAAAAAAAGGATAAACTATATAGACACACAATAACAATATGGGATAGTACACAGTTGTCAATGTAGCATGGTGAAGCTATTAGATAAATGTAAGAAATTCGTATACACGTAAGAATCCGTTGATATAATTCGTTTTTTAACTCTAGACAATATGATTTTCTGACATTACATTCCATGTGATCTGCTTACGCCAAAATAAGCAGCTATTGCGTGTCATTTAAATTTGATTCATATTTTTATAGCCCTAGACGAGAAGCATTGAAACATAGCATATCTCGCTGTCTATCATTTCTCTTAATTTGTTAGTGTTGCATATTACTTTAAATAATAGAAGTGAAATTGTAAAATATAAAATATAAGATCAATCTTTGATACTGTGTCAATTGCACGAATTATTTAAACATTTTTTTTATAAGTACTGGGAAAATTTGCTAATGTCTAAAATTATCTGTACTATACCTACAATTTACATTATCTATATATCGCAGATGTATCACATGTATGCATGTATAGGGTGAGGCATGTCATCAATTGATCTTATTTCTGAACGTATTTTTTTTGTTAATATATGCTTACAAAAATATAGAAATATTGGGCGTTGTGTAATAAACTTAAAATTAATTTATTATAATGTAATTATATAAAACTTTATATTAACGTCATAAAATCATCACTATGTTATATAGTTCGTTTATTTCTACTATATAAAATATGTCTCCATTACTTCTGAAAATAGGGTTAAATATTTCAAGGTGGAATATTCAATTCGAAAGAGTACATTTCACGTTTAATAGAATATCTTCAAGATAATTAAAAAAAAATTTCAGTTACACACACACGCACACTCACACACACACACAATTATATATATATATATATATATATATATATATATATATTGTTTGAATTGAAAAATGCCATCCTAAAACATTTTATTTTATTATTAAAAGCAGCAGAGATAATTTTTCGTCGTAAAGATAAACGAATAGTCCTGTATATCATTGAATTAGCCGCAATCTTTGTTGTAAATATTATGAGAGAAGATCAAGGTTTAGTCAACAATAATATAATCAATTTCAAATATGCCTTTATGGAAAAACTATTAATATCACCGAAAAAATATATTTCCCGTAAAATTTAGCATTTTTTACTCAAAGCTTTTTTTAAATAAATATATAAAAAGAAATTAATATGTTGAGACACTACGTGTTTCACCTTTTATGTACAGATATAATAACGGTTTGACATGATATACATAAATTTGGTATTATTCAGAAGATTTACTTCGATATTAATATTAAGATCAGATTTATACATAGTATTTTTGGTATCAATATTGATACAAACAAGGTTTACCTAAAAGTAACGATTCTTTATTTACATTATGCATGTATGATTTATTTTGATGGTTTCAGTGTTGCTGTATATAAATCAGTTTATTTTTGTATTAATGTTAACTGTATTGAGTTGATCTAAAAGTAATTACAATTGTCTACATTAAAAAAAAAGAAAAACTGTTTTAGCTTTGTTGCTACTTCAATATTTTCTCGTTATTTAATATTAAGAAGGCTTGTTTTTTTTACAAATATTTTCACCGTCTTTAATATTATTAATGTCGTATATAAGAATATACGCAAATATCATTTTTATATAAAAAAGAGAAAAAGCAACACGTTAAAATATCTTAATTATTAAAGTGATATTGTTTTGCATTTCGTTTTGTTTTTAATTATTCGTTTTTTTGCATAAATTGATGAATATCACATGGAAAGATATGTTCAACCTTCTTGATTTGTTGCTTGATGTTACATCGCAATGATGTGACTCCATAATAGAAATTTATATCTATTTAGTAATTCTCTCTCTCTTTCTCTCTCTCTCTCTCTCTCTCTCTCTCTCTCTCTCTCTCTCTCTCTATCTCTCTCTCTCTCTCTCTCTCTCTCTCTCTCTCTCTCTCTCTCTCTCTCTCTCTCTCTCTCTCTCTCTCTCTCTCTCTCTCTCTCTCTCTCTCTCTTTCTCACTTATTCTACTAAACTATACATATATACTATAAAATATAACTATAAAATATACATATAATACATTGCACGAAAAGAGTTCATTAAAATTAACGACTTAAGGCTCCTAGTCCTCTGCCAAAGAATTTTTGATTGATGACGTAAGAAGCGAAAAAAAGCATGTTCAAAATTCTTGTGCACTATTTTCAAGTGAAAAAAAATATACTTGTATGAAAGAGAATACTTTAGATGCTTAGAACATACTCGTAAAATGTTCCTAACACTATGCTTTTCTTTTGAAAATCAATTAGTCGTAAAATAACTATAATATGAGATTGATCATATGGATCGTGCATGACTAGTTCTCATATTCTCAAGTAGAACATAAAATAATGATGACATCAAAATGACAAGAAAATAACCGAATTGTGATGAAGAAATGAGTTCTCATAATTTTGACGTCATTATGATTTTCTATCCTGCCTGGGATATAATCATTTTTTCTCAAGTAGAACATAAAATAATGATGGCATCAAGAGACACGGTAGTGCCTCGCACCAAATCAAAATGACGAGAAAATAACCGAATTGTGATGAAGAAATAAGTTCTCATAATTTTGACGTCATTATGATTTTCTATCCTGCCTGGGATATAATCATTTTTTCTCAAGTAGAACATAAAATAATGATGGCATCAAGAGACACGGTAGTGCCTCGCGCCAAATCAAAATGACGAGAAAATAACCGAATTGTGATGAAGAAATGAGTTCTCATAATTTTGACGTCGTTATAATTTTTTGTCCTGCCTGGGATATAATCATTTTATGATTGTTGATTGATTATGAAAGGAGAAGCATAATATTCAGGGATATATTTTGTAAATATTCTCTAGCAATTTGAAACATTCTTTTAAATTTTCATACAAACTTCTCTTTACTTATAAGTGGCAAGAATTTTCAATTTTTTCTTATTTTTGACGTTACTATCCAATATAGTTGCAACGAGCATCCGAAAGCCTTAACCTTAAAATACTGTTCATTATTTTTAATATTAATGATACGTAAATATCAACGCGTATATCTTGAGAGATATATCAACATCTAAGGAAATGCTTCCATTAATCTTTTCCATTGCCATGCATAATGTCAAATATTGTTAAAATTGTATTATTGAGAATTAATATTGCATCTAAAAATGAATTATATAACCTTTAATATAACATTTCGTGTAATATTTCAAACATTTTTTTGTGATATTTTATCTAGCAACGAAAAAAATTTCTTTTCACATCTTTTTCTAACTTAACACATGTTCATAATGTATATATTTGGCGCATACATTTCTTTACGCTATCTTAGTATTCTAAATTTAAACATAGGAGATCAGGTAACTGTAATTTACAATCAAATACGATAAATTTGCTCTGTAATGTTATACATTTACTATTACGTTGAAAATAATGATGCTCTGGAACATCAACATTTGCACGAGAATAATTTTGGTACAATTTTTATAATCGAGCAGGAAGCAGTTTAGTTTGTTTTATTTGTACATGGTAGAATACATCTGCGAAATGTCATTATTAAAATGACGATTGCACAAGTCACGACTGTTTTCACTGTATACACGTGTAAAATATATAATTAAGAACTAGAGAATGAGGAACTATCATTTCTAATAAAAGGATGTCGTGATTTTTATACGTTAACATTAAATATTACATTGTCTAAAGATATATGTAGCGAAGCAGAAATATAGAAATATAGAACAGCGAAATATAGTTGTACCAACAATAGGACTTATATCTTAATTTTCACTTATACTGGGTGATCCGAAATTCCCGCATTCGGAATACAGGACATGATACTTTATGCTAAAACAAACAACTTTTCCTTTAGCAAAATTGCGTCCGACAAATAGTTTTTGCAGAAGAGCGTGTTAAATTTAACGAATAAGCGCTCTTGCTATGTAACGCTCAAGGCCGGCGCGTGCGCCTCACTCGCGTGTACCTAGTCCGTGATTAGTAATCATAAGTAGTGTCTTTTAAGACGCTCATACGGTCCTCTTGTGATTAGTTTACAACATTTTAAGACTGTACTTAAGACAATTTTAAATAATAAGAATCAATTATGAACAATACCGGGATTTGACCTGCTTTCATATTTGTATTGCTTAAATAATGAAAAGTTAATAAAATAAGTACTGCCTTTATTTTTTTTACGTAATAAATGAATAAAATATTGTCTGATTGCACAATATTATCTGAAAATAAAAATAAATATAAATAGTAATATGTTTTGCGAGCTGTGAGCGTTCTATTATTCCAAATATTGCACAATTATGTGATAATTAAATAGTATCATTAAATTTAAAGAATAATTTACTGATTAAGCGTATACATAGGAGTATATATATTTGTAACAGTGATTATAAGTAAAATATTTGAATTAACGTCTTTTAAGAACTCTCTTTTTATTTCTTTACAATAGAAAATACAAAGAACTTATTTAAAATTCAAATTGTGTGATATACTCACGTCACGGTCTATATTTATTTATTATTGCTCATGCACGTTAGCCTTTCATTATGTACTTTCCTTACATGTTTCAATTATTGCTATATTGCTATAGCTTTAATGATTTATTTTCTTAACCAACTTGACTATTGAGGCTATAGCAATATTCCTCGCAATAATCAAAACATGTAAGGAAAGTATGAATTGAAAGGCTAACGTGCATAAGCAATAATAAGTAAATGTAGACCGTGACGTGAGTATATCACACAATTTGAATTTTAAATAAGTTCTTTGTATTTTCTATTATAAAGAAATAAAAAGAGAGCTCTTAAAAGATGTTAATTCAAATATTTTACTTGTAATCACTGTTACAAATATGTATACTCCTATGTATACGCTTGAACAGTAAATTATTCTTTAAATTTAATTTAAATTTAATTAAATTTAAATTTAATTAAAAAATTAACTATTTAATTATTAACACGTAATTGTGCAATATTTGGAATAATAGAACGCTCACAGCCCGCAAAATATACATATTACTATTTACATTTGTCTTTATTTTCAGATAATATTGTGCAATCAGACAATATTTTATTCATTTATTACGTAAAAAATAAAGACAGTACTTATTTTATTAACTTTTCATTATTTAAGCAATACAAATATAAAAGCAGGTCAAATCCAGTTATTGTTCATAATTGATTCTTATTATTTAAAATTGTCTTAAGCACAGTCTTAAAATGTCGTAAACTAATCTCAAGAGAACCGTATGAGCGTCTTAAAAGACATTACTTATGATTACTAATCACGGACTAGGTACACGCGAGTGAGGCGCGCGCGCCGGCCCTGAGCGTTACATAGCAAGAGCG